TCAGTGTCTCTTTGCTTGACATCATGGGATAATCAAATGAAATCAGCCAAGACCTCAGAAAAAAAATTGTAGACCTCCACAAGTCTGGTTCATCCTTGGGAGCAATTTCCAAACGCCTGAAGGTACCACATTCATCTGTACAAACAATAGTACGGAAGTATAAACACCATGGGACCATGCAGCCGTCATACTGCTCAGGAAGGAGACGCGTTCTGTCTCCTAGAGAAGAACGTACTTTGGTGCGAAAAGTGCAAATCAATCCCAGAACATCTTGTGTTCTTGTGAAGATGCTGGAGGAAACGGATACAAAAGTATCTACAGTAAAACGAGTCCTATATTGACATAACCTGAAAGGCCGCTCAGCAAGGAAGAAGCCACTGCTCCAAAACCGCCATATAAAAGCCGGACTACATTTTTTTTGGTCTGATTAAACAAAAATAGAACTGTTTGGCCATAATGACCATCGTTATGTTTGGAGGAAAAAGAGGGGGCTTGCAAGCCGGAGAACACCATCCCAACCGTGAAGCACAGGGGTGGCAGCATCATGCTGTGGTGGTGCTTTGCTGCAGGAGGGCCTGGTGCACTTCACAGAATAGATGGCATCATGAGGAAGGAAAATTATGTGGATATATTGAAGCAACATCTCAAGACATCAGTCAGGAAGTTAAAGCGTGGTCGCAAATGGGTCTTCCAAATGGACAATGACCCCAAGCATACTTCCAAAGTTGTGGCAAAATGGCTTAAGGACAACAAAGTCAAGGTATTGGAGTGGCCATCACAAAGCCCTGACCTCAATGCTATAGAAAATTTGTGGGCAGAACTGAAAAAGCGTGTGCGAGCAAGGAGGCCTACAAACCTGACTCAGTTACACCAGCTCTGTCAGGAGGAATGGGCCAAAATTCACCCAACTTATTGTGGGAAGCTTGTGGAAGGCTACCCGAAACGTTTCACCCAAGTTAAACAATTTAAAGGCAATGCTACCAAATACTAATTGAGTGTATGTAAACTTCTGACCCACTGGGAATGTGATGAAATAAATAAAACCTTAAATAAATAATTCTCTACTATTATTCTGACATTTCACATTCTTAAAATAAAGTGGTGATCCTAACTGACCTAAGACGGGGATATTTTACTAGGATTAAATGTCAGGAATTGTGAAAAACTGAGTTTAAATGTATTTGGCTAAGGTTTATGTACACTTCCGACTTCAACTGTATATTAGTTATGACAGGGTATTTATTAGTTATGATGAGGTCTAGGACAGGTAGGGTATTTATTAGTTAACCATGATGAGGTCTAGGACAGGTAGGGTATTTATTAGTTATGATGAGGTCTAGGACAGGTAGGGTATTTATTAGTTATGATGACGTCTAGGACAGGTAGGGTATTTATTAGTTATGATGACGTCTAGGACAGGTAGGGTATTTATTAGTTAACCATGATGACGTCTAGGGCAGATAGGGTATATATACTGCTGCTACTCATTAGCCTTGGTGACTTTTAAGCATTGTGTATTTCAGGCTGGATCGTGACCTGACAGAGTAGCAAACATATTCTGCTCTCTCTCTCTCTCTGTCTCCGGTTCAGCTTCTACATACTGTACGCTGCTCTGCACTTCAAAGGCTTGATAGATAGTGCTGGTGTCCCAAATGGCACCCTTTTCCCTTTATAGTGCACTACTCTTGACCAGAGCGCTATGTAGGGAATAGGGTGCCATGTAGGGCCTACGTGGAGTGTTTCTAGGACTCTGGACGTCTTATCTGAGACTGAGAGAGAAGCCATCTGTTCAGGGACTGACTTATTCATCTCCTATCTGGTGTATGAGGGAAAACTGGCTCTGTGTGTGTGTGTGTGTGTGCGTGTGTGTGTGTGTATATGGTTGGCATATTTAACATTTTCCTAAGGACCATATTATATGCTGTAGGAGTTAGCAGGTTAAGGACCAGATTATATGCTGTAGAAGATAGCAGGTTAAGGACCAGATTATATGCTGTAGGAGTTAGCAGGTTAAGGACCAGATTATATGCTGTAGGAGATAGCAGGTTAAGGACCAGATTATATGCTGTAGGAGCTAGCAGGTTAAGGACCAGATTATATTCTGTAGGAGTTAGCAGGTTAAGGACCAGATTATATGCTGTAGGAGTTAGCAGGTTAAGGACCAGATTATATGCTGTAGAAGTTAGCAGGTTAAAGACCAGATTATATGCTGTAGGAGTTAGCAGGTTAAGAACCAGATTATATGCTGTAGAAGTTAGCAGGTTAAGGACCAGATTATATGCTGTAGGAGCTAGCAGGTTAAGGACCAGATTATATGCTGTAGGAGCTAGCAGGTTAAGGACCAGATTATATGCTGCAGGAGTTAGCAGGTTAAGGACCAGATTATATGCTGTAGGAGTTAGCAGGTTAAGGACCAGATTATATGCTGTAGGAGTTAGCAGGTTAAGGACCAGATTATATGCTGTAGGAGTTAGCAGGTTAAGGACCAGATTATATGCTGTAGGAGCTAGCAGGTTAAGGACCAGATTATATGCTGTAGGAGTTAGCAGGTTAAGGACCAGATTATATGCTGTAGGAGTTAGCAGGTTAACGACCAGATTATATGCTGTAGGAGTTAGCAGGTTAAGGACCAGATTATATGCTGTAGAAGTTAGCAGGTTAAGGACCAGATTATATGCTGTAGAAGTTAGCAGGTTAAGGACCAGATTATATGCTGTAGGAGCTAGCAGGTTAAGGACCAGATTATATGCTGTAGGAGCTAGCAGGTTAAGGACCAGATTATATGCTGTAGGAGCTAGCAGGTTAAGGACCAGATTATATGCTGTAGGAGTTAGCAGGTTAAGGACCAGATTATATGCTGTAGGAGTTAGCAGGTTAAGGACCAGATTATATGCTGTAGGAGCTAGCAGGTTAAGGACCAGATTATATGCTGTAGGAGTTAGCAGGTTAACGACCAGATTATATGCTGTAGTAGTTAGCAGGTTAAGGACCAGATTATATGCTGTAGAAGTTAGCAGGTTAAGGACCAGATTATATGCTGTAGAAGTTAGCAGGTTAAGGACCAGATTATATGCTGTAGGAGCTAGCAGGTTAAGGACCAGATTATATGCTGTAGCAGTTAGCAGGTTAAGGACCAGATTATATGCTGTAGGAGCTAGCAGGTTAAGGACCAGATTATATGCTGTAGAAGTTAGCAGGTTAAGGCCAGTGATGTAGTAAACATATAGTAGGTCAACTGACCACCATTCATGGTAAATAAAGTAACGGCCTGTATATTTTCAATGCATTTTTCTGCGATAGGTGAGTAACTGCTCGATCAAAATAAAGAATGTATGAACAGCGTTTACCCTCCACTACCCCACTGGTTATGGTTAGTGATAAAGTGTTTGTGGGACATTCCTTCAGACAGATCAGTGAACTACGGTAGGGTTAGTCTCTCTGTGATGGTGTTCTCTCTCTCAGGGGAATAATGCTGCCATAGTAACACATAGCCCTGGTTGCTAGGGTTACCAGAAGCATGTCCCGACGTAAACTCGCTGTGACAACTCAGCAACAGCTTATTAAGAGGGGAGTTTTACACACAGAGACAGACAGACAGACAGACAGACAGACAGACAGACAGACAGACAGACAGACAGACAGACAGACAGACAGACAGACAGACAGACAGACACGGCCACAGAGGTCAGACTTACCAGGACAGCACATTGTGGTGGGGTGTGACAGTATTTATTAGGAATATTATTATCCAATCAGTTTCTCTCTAACAGACTGCATGGAGACAGGTCAATGACTCACCCTGTCACTGGGCCACACACACACACAGGCCACTGCCCTGGACCAATGCAATTACATAACCATTTTATATAAATCCGCTCACTCACTGTCTGAGTTTCCTCTCAAATAATCACAAGACCTGTTCTAACCCCACCCCTCTCTCTCCTCTCTCTCTCTCTGTCTGTCTGTCTGTCTGTCTGTCTGTCTGTCTGTCTGTCTGTCTGTCTGTCTCTCTCTCTCTCTTTCCTCTCTCTCTCTCTCTCTCTCTCTCTCTGTCTGTCTGTCTGTCTCTCTCTCTCTCTTTCCTCTCTCTGAGACGTGACAGTGGTCTGGAATACTGAGATAAAGCCATGCGGCAGGGATCACACACACACACACAATCACAACCTTCAGTGAGCGACCATGGTATTACCTGCTTTGCAGCCTCACTCTAAACTAAGCTTGAAATCATCATGCTAGTATCTGGGTATGAAGCCAGACCGCATGTCCTAATGTGTTGTTTTGCTGGCTAAAACAGCTGTCATAGAGAACCACATGTATTTTCACCCAGATTATACATTCTTTGTGTTAACTAACATGGGTTCAAATACTATTTTAGATACATTTTCTGTGCTTGATTAGGGTGGCCTGGTTTAACGGACCAATAGAATGGCTCAAAACGACAAACCCCGCCCATCTGGTGCTCCTGGCAGGTTAAAGCAAATGCTAAAAGTATTGGGAAAATATCAAATAGTATTTGAACCCAGGTGTGTTGGGAAGAGGTACGTTAGGAGGATGAGGCTGAATAACTTCAGGGCCTCTCAGAGCAAGAGTGCTGATCCAGGATCGGTTTGGCCTTTTCGATCATAAAGAATCAAATTATATCGAGGTTATCTCTCCAGGAACAGGGTTGGAGAGCCCTGATATAGACAGAGCCTAGATCATCACTCCTACTCTGAGATGCTTTGTGGAGACGGGCCCTGTTGTCTAAGGGGTTCCCTCTTATCGTACTGTCCCCCTAGTGGTGGGAACTGGAACTGCTATGCACATCTTTATATAAGGCTGATATTACAGTCAAACACTGTAGTGTTTCATATGCTACATCAGTAGGAATCAGTCTTCTACACTACAATAGTTGGTTAGGTTGTAGCTTGTATTTGGCTCCATTGGGTTAAAATGGTTTAGTTATAATTAAGTGATTAACACTAATTGTAATTCTATAATATTAATATTTTCTCTTTCAGGATACAACCATCCCTCGCTCATCAAAGTGATGTCCAACCCCAACAATATGGTAGGTAGGGAGGGAGGGAGGGAGAGAGGGAGAGAGAGAGAGGGAGGGAGAGGGAGAGGAGGGAGGGAGGGAGGGAGAGAGGGAGAGGGGAGGGAAGGAGAGAGAGAGGACGGAGGAGAGAGAGGAGAGGATGGGGACGGAGGGAGACGGACTGCTGGGAGGGATGGGATAGTGGGAGGGCACGGTCGTGGACGCGGGGTAGGGTTGGCCCGGGGTTGGGGGGAGGGGGAGGTTTCTTTTTTTTTCTTGGAGGGAGATGGGGGTGATTGACGAGGTTTGGGAGGCGAGGGGGGGTTTGGGGGAGAGGGGTAGGGGGGGAAAATGCTTTTTGTTTTTTCTTTTTCAACACAAATAAAACAATTAATAAAGTCCCTTGTAGTGACTGCCTATTACGGCTTATCATTTATTCACATTACTTTACTTTAATACAATATTTCAGTTGTGTATATTACATTTGTTTTAACTGATCATCTCATCTCTATAGAGCTGCTGCCTATGCTGTCTGAAGTAAATAAGGCATACTTTTATGACTGCTGAATACCAACTATCAATCACGTAGATCATGAAGTAACTGCTCTTTGTCGCTCTCCATCACGCTTTCTTCTGTCCCGTCTGTGCCTCTCTGTGTCTGCCCTCACACAGACCGGATAAGTAGGCATACAATGGATTATGGTCATTGTAGTTCATTACCACGTTTTCTGAGCTAAACTATGTAGAACGTTGGCCTGTTGGAAACTACAACTCCATACTACATCGCACAGTTCGGGCTTGATCTGATTTATCTCTAGAGGAACTGCGCAATGTGCGCATTGAGCTCACAGAAAAAATGAAATGGAATTCAAATAATCTCTGTTATTGAAAACCGATCAGAAGACATTGGAGTTGAGCATCTCTCCCCACGTTTATCTGACAGTCCTGCTTAGTTCCCCATGTTTTCCTCTCTGTCTCTCTTTCTCTCTCTCTCTCTCTTTCTCTCTCCCTCTCAGAGTGCGTTTGTGAACAGGCCAGCTCTTGGGATCATGCCACCTGAGAACTTTCCGGAAAAGCTGGCGGAAAGCCTTCTCTCAGTGAGTGCCACACACACATACACTTTGCATACACTCAAGCTTCAGGCAGCTTTTAACAGAAAGACAAAAAATAACAATTATTTAATGAAAGACCAGAAACTAACTGGACCCCACTACTGTAGGCTGGCTTCCTCCATTTTGTGGATTGTGCAATCCCTCTTGACTGGATACAATCCAAGACACTCCTTCCCTCCCCTCCTCTCCTCCTCTCCTCTCCTCCTCTCCTCTCCTCCTCTGTCCAGGTTGCTCCTAGTGGTATGAGCCGTGTCCAGACCATGGCCTGTGGATCCTGCTCCAATGAGAATGCATATAAAGCCATGTTCATCTGGTACAGAGTGAGTACATATAAAGCCATGTTCATCTGGTACAGAGTGAGTACATATAAAGCCATGTTCATCTGGTACAGAGTGAGTACATATAAAGCCATGTTCATCTGGTACAGAGTGAGTACATATAAAGCCATGTTCATCTGGTACAGAGTGAGTACATATAAAGCCATGTTCATCTGGTACAGAGTGAGTACATACACTGAGTGTACAAAACATTAAGAACACCTGCTCTTTTCATTACATAGACTGACCAGGTGAAAGCTGTGTGGTCCTCTGTTGCTCAATTGGTAGAGCATGGCGCTTGTAATGCCAGGGTAGTGGGTTCGATCCCTGGGACCACCCATATGTAAAAATGTATGCACACATGACTGTAAGTCGCTTTGGATAAAAGCGTCTGCTAAATGGCATATTATTATAATGTATTATTATGATCCGTTATTGATGTCACTTGTTAAATCCACTTCAATCAGTGTAGATGGAGGGGAGGAGACAGGTTAAATAAGTATTTTTAAGCCTTGAGACAATTGAGAGATGGATTGTGTATGTGTGCCATTCAGAGGGTGAATGGGAAAGACAAAAGATTTAAGTGCCTTTGAACGGGGTATGGTAGTAGGTCTCAGGCACACTGGTTTGTGTTATTTTTTAATACACTGAGTGTACAAAACATTATGAACACCTGCTTTTTCCATGACATGGGGGGGTTTGCTTTGTGTGTTTTGTCCACTCAGTTTTAACATGTTGTTTCATAGTGGTTTATTTATTCCCCCCCCAAAAAACGTATTGCCCTGCAAAATCAATTGAGTTTGATCTCAATTAGCTGATTTGTGTTCATATCTGAACATTTCTGCTGTAGCGATTATATCCAACCAAGATATCATATGGTAGTAGGTGTCAGGTGCACCGGTTTGAGTGTCAAGAACTGCAACGCTGCTCGGTTTTTCACGCTTTTCAAGCTCAACCGTTTCCCTTGTGTATCAAGAATGGTCCACCACCCAAATGACATCCAGCCAACTTGACACAACTGTGGGAAGCATTGGAGTCAACATGGGCCAGCATCTCTGTGGAACGCTTTCGCCACCTTGTAGAGTCCATGCCCCGATGAATTGAGGCTGTTCTGAGGGCAAAAGGGGGTGCAACTCAATATTAGGAAGGTGTTCCTAATGTTTTGTACACTCAGTGTATATATTTATACGCACAATATCTAGTCAATATAAGCAGAATATATACAATATAGATTAAACACTACCATGTTCAGCTGAGACAATATATATTATATAGTCAATATATTTACAAAATGTACTGTATACGTATGGACACAATGGAAACATAGTATATTATCTGTCTGTCTCAGAATAAGGAAAGAGGCCACAACATCCCCTCTGATGAAGACGTGAGCTCCTGTATGATCAACCAGGTGGGTGAAATCTAATTCAACATCATCAAGTTCTATTAGTCTTATGTACAGGATACACAGTGGGTATACATCGTCCAATGAAATGCTTACTGCAGGTTCCTTCTGGACAATGGAACAACAATAAGAAATATTAAAATGTAAGAATAGGAACATAAAGTAAATGGATCAGCAGAACAGAATATACATGTTAGCATCAGTAGAATACAGGAAGGAACAATATATAGTCCGATATTTACACGTGTATTGGGGATGGGGGCAGTGTATAAACAGCAGTATAATAAGAGTAGCAGCAGTACTGTGACATCTTGGGTCAATGACAACGCACAAAATGGCGGCACAGTTGCACACTTGCTAGCCAGGTTTTAGGTGAAGGTGGGGGAAACTGTGACATCTTGGGTCAATGACAACGCACAAAATGGCGGCACAGTTGCACACTTGCTAGCCAGGTTTTAGGTGAAGGTGGGGGAAACTGTGACATCTTGGGTCAATGACAACACACAAAATGGCGGCACAGTTGCACACTTGCTAGCCAGGTTTTAGGTGAAGGTGGGGGAAACTGTGACATCTTGGGTCAATGACAACGCACAAAATGAAGGCACAGTTGCACACTTGCTAGCCAGGTTTTAGGTGAAGGTGGGGGAAACTGTGACATCTTGGTTCAATGACAACGCACAAAATGGCGGCACAGTTGCACACTTGCTAGCCAGGGTTTAGTATACAGTGGCTTGCGAAAGTATTCACCCCCCTTGGCATTTTTCCTATTTTGTTGCCTTACAACCTGGAATTAAAATTGATTTGGGGGGGATGGATCATTTGATTTACACAACATGCCTACCACTTTGAAGATGCAAAATATTTTTTGGGGTGAAACAAACAAGAAATAAGAAAAAAAAGAAAAAACTTGAGCGTGCATAACTAATTCAACCCCCCCCCCCCCCCCCAAGTCAATACTTTGTAGAGCCACCTTTTGCAGCAATTACAGCTACAAGTCTCTTGGGATATGTCTCTATAAGCTTGGTACATCTAGCCACTGGGATTTTTGCCCATTCTTCAAGGCAAAACTGCTCCAGCTCCTTCAAGTTGGATGGGTTCCACTGGTGTACAGCAATCTTTAAGTCATACCACAGATTCTCAATTGGATTGAGGTCTGGGCTTGACTAGGCCATTCCAAGACATTTAAATGTTTCCCCTTAAACCACTCAAGTGTTGCTTTAGCAGTATGCTTAGGGGCATTGTCCTGCTGGAAGGTGAACCTCCGTCCCAGTCTCAAATCTCTGGAAGACTGAAACAGGTTTCCCTCAAGAATTTCCCTTTAGCGCCATCCATCATTCCTTCAATTCTGACCAGTTTCCCAGTCCCTGCCGATGAAAAACATCCCCACAGCATGATGACACTGTGTTCTCGGGGTGATGAGAGGTGTTGGGTTTGCACCAGACATAGCGTTTTCCTTGATGGCCAAAAAGCTCAACTTTAGTCTTATCTGACCAGAGTACCTTCTTCCATATGTTTGGGGAATCTCCCACATGCCTTTTGGAGAACCCCAAACGTGTTTGCTTATTTTTTTCTTGAAGCAATGGCTTCTTTCTGGCCACTCTTCCATAAAGCCCAGCTCTGTGGAGTGTACGGCTTAAAGTAGTCCAATGGACAGATACTCCAATCTCCGCTGTGGAGCTTTGCAGCTCCTTCAAGGTTATCTTTGATCTCTTTGTTGCCTCTCTAATTAAAGCCCTCCTTGCCTGTCCGTGAGTTTTGGTGGGCGACCCTCTCTTGGCAGGTTTGTTGTGGTGCCATATTCTTTCCATTTTTTTATAATAGATTTAATGGTGCTCAGTGGGATGTTCAAAGTTTCTGATATTTATTTTATAACCCAACCCTGATCTGTACTTCTCCACAACTTTGTCCCTGACCTGTTTGGAGAGCTCCTTGGTCTTCATGGTGCCACTTGCTTGGTGGTGCCCGTTGCTTAGTGGTGTTGCAGACTCTGGGGCCTTTCAGTACAGGTGTCTATATACTGAGATCATGTGACAGATGATGTGACCATTAGATTGCACATAGGTGGACTTTATTTAACTAATTATGTGACTTCTGAAGGTAATTGGTTGCACCAGATCTTATTTAGGGGCTTCATAGCAAAGGGAGTGAATACATATGCACACACCACTTTTCCGTTATTTATTTTCTAGAATTTTTTGAAACAAGTTATTTTTTTCATTTCACCAATTTGGACTATTTTGTCCATTACATGAAATCCAAATAAAAATCCATTTAAATTACAGGTTGTAATGCAACAAAATAGGAAAAACACCAAGGGGGATGAATACTTTTGCAAGGCACTGTATGTGTGTATGTCTGTGTGGTTGTGTGTGTGTGTGAGGGAGGGAGTGCATGTGTGCTAAGGTGCGGAGAGTCAGAGCAGGCCATGACCTGTGTTCTGGTGTTCATCAACATCATCATCACGTTCCTCTCACCTATTCTTTATTAGCCACGTACACACACTAAAAACACTCTCTCATGCTCTAATTCTAATTATTGCTCTCTCTCCCTCCTTCTCTCTCCTCCTCCTCTCTCCCTTTGTTCTCCCTCTCTCCGTCTCTCTCTCCCTCCTCCTCTCTCCTCGTTCTCTCTCCCCTCTCCTTCATTCCCTCTCTCTCTCCACTCTCCCTTCTCTCTCCACTCTCCCTCCTCTCTCTCTCTCAGAGCCCTGGCTGTCCGGACCTCAGCATCCTGTCGTTTATGGGTGGATTTCATGGCAGAACAATGGGTCAGTCAGGTTAAATATTATTACACATCTTATTGTTGAATGAAAGTAAAATAACATAACTACTACGAGACAAAGAACTACGAATCATGGAGGTCAACATCCGTGGTCTAAGATCAAACATCGGAGAACTAACCTAAGGAGAAAGAACCTACCGTCGTCATCGTGGTGGAAGCATCCCCGGGACCACCCATACGTAAAAATGTATGCAAACATGACTGTAAGTCGCTTTGGATAAAAGCGTCTGCTAAATGGCTTATTATTATTATTATTATTATTCATGGACTCAACTGTAAAGGACGGAGCTGACTGCATCGCAATACCAGGATGCACCATGTGCTGCCGACGAGACAGAACTGCGTCGTCAGGTGGCGGCATTGCAGTGTATTGCTTGCAAGGAATCGCCATCCACCATGAGACCCAAAAAGACCCAAAAGACATGGAACTGACATGGCTTCCAGTCACCTTACACTCCCAGAAGCTCCTCATAGGAGCTGTTTTTTAGACCTAGACACTGAAACCCAAAATGACAGAGTTTGGTGCACATTCTGTCATGGTGGCGGGCGACTTCAATGTCCACCATGAAGACTGTCTGGATAGCTGAACAACTGTCATGCTGATCGCCGGGCCCGACAGCTGCTTAGGCCTACAACAGATTGTGGTTACTCCAACCAGAGGAGACCAAGCCCTGGGACAAAGTATGTTTTGACGAAAAGATCACTGACATCACCCATGATGCCATGGAGCAATTAATCCCCAGCAGAACTGTCACCAGAAAGCCCGGGGACAAAGTATGTTTTGACGAAAAGTGCAGGAGAGCAGCAAGGACGGAAAAAGCGTCGCCATTTTTTCCAACGGCTAAAAAAAACTGCTGCCAACAAGCAGAAGTTTGCCCAGGCCAGACATGTTCAACCAGGCTGAGAAGCAAGCTAGAAGGAACCATGATATCAAACTCACAGAGGAACTCACTGATAACACCCTAATCAGCAAGAGATGGTGGAGGCTTTGTCAACTCCCTTTCTGGGAGAGCTGCTAACTCTGATATCCCTGTCATCATACACCACGACATAGCACACATCACTGTAACGTAACAAAATGTGGGAAGGTCAAGGGTCTGAATACTTTCTGAATGGACTGTATCTGTTCCTCTAATGTCCTATCTGTTCCTCTACTGTCCTATCTGTTCCTCTACCGTCCTATCTGTTCCTCTACCGTCCTATCTGTTCCTCTACTGTCCTATCTGTTCCTCTACCGTCCTATCTGTTCCTCTACCGTCCTACCTGTTCCTCTACCGTCCTACCTGTTCCTCTACCGTCCTATCTGTTCCTCTACTGTCCTATCTGTTCCTCTACCGTCCTATCTGTTCCTCTACCGTCCTATCTGTTCCTCTACTGTCCTATCTGTTACTCTACCGTCCTATCTGTTCCTCTACCGTCCTATCTGTTCAATAAAAACACAATATATTACGAAAGGAGTGAGACTGCCCTATCCTTATCCACCATCCTGAGGACTGCCCTATCCTTATCCACCATCCTGAGGACTGCCCTATCCTTATCCACCATCCTGAGGACTGCCCTATCCTTATCCACCATCCTGAGGACTGCCCTATCCTGATCCACCATCCTGAGGACTGCCCTATCCTTATCCACCATCCTGAGGACTGCCCTATCCTTATCCACCATCCTGAGGACTGCCCTATCCTGATCCACCATCCTGAGGACTGCCCTATCCTTATCCACCATCCTGAGGACTGCCCTATCCTTATCCACCATCCTGAGGACTGCCCTATCCTGATCCACCATCCTGAGGACTGCCCTATCCTTATCCACCATCCTGAGGACTGCCCTATCCTTATCCACCATCCTGAGGACTGCCCTATCCTGATCCACCCATCCTGAGGACTGCCCTATCCTTATCCACCATCCTGAGGACTGCCCTATCCTTATCCACCATCCTGAGGACTGCCCTATCCTGATCCACCATCCTGAGGACTGCCCTATCCTTATCCACCATCCTGAGGACTGCCCTATCCTTATCCACCATCCTGAGGACTGCCCTATCCTGATCCACCATCCTGAGGACTGCCCTATCCTGATCCACCATCCTGAGGACTGCCCTATCCTGATCCACCATCCTGAGGACTGCCCTATCCTTATCCACCATCCTGAGGACTGCCCTATCCTTATCCACCATCCTGAGGACTGCCCTATCCTTATCCACCATCCTGAGGACTGCCCTATCCTGATCCACCATCCTGAGGACTGCCCTATCCTGATCCACCATCCTGAGGACTGCCCTATCCTTATCCACCATCCTGAGGACTGCCCTATCCTTATCCACCATCCTGAGGACTGCCCTATCCTGATCCACCATCCTGAGGACTGCCCTATCCTGATCCACCATCCTGAGGACTGCCCTATCCTTATCCACCATCCTGAGGACTGCCCTATCCTTATCCACCATCCTGAGGACTGCCCTATCCTTATCCACCATCCTGAGGACTGCCCTATCCTGATCCACCATCCTGAGGACTGCCCTATCCTTATCCACCATCCTGAGGACTGTCCTATCCTTATCCACCCTCCTGAGGACTGTCCTATCCTGATCCACCATCCTGAGGACTGCCCTATCCTTATCCACCATCCTGAGGACTGCCCTATCCTTATCCACCATCCTGAGGACTGCCCTATCCTTATCCACCATCCTGAGGACTGCCCTATCCTGATCCACCATCCTGAGGACTGCCCTATCCTTATCCACCATCCTGAGGACTGTCCTATCCTTATCCACCCTCCTGAGGACTGTCCTATCCTGATCCACCATCCTGAGGACTGCCCTATCCTGATCCACCATCCTGAGGACTGCCCTATCCTGATCCACCCTCCTGAGGACTGTCCTATCCTGATCCACCCTCCTGAGGACTGCCCTATCCTGATCCACCATCCTGAGGACTGCCCTATCCTTATCCACCCTCCTGAGGACTGCCCTATCCTTATCCACCATCCTGAGGACTGCCCTATCCTTATCCACCCTCCTGAGGACTGTCCTATCCTGATCCACCATCCTGAGGACTGCCCTATCCTTATCCACCATCCTGAGGACTGTCCTATCCTGATCCACCATCCTGAGGACTGCCCTATCCTTATCCACCATCCTGAGGACTGCCCTATCCTTATCCACCCTCCTGAGGACTGTCCTATCCTGATCCACCATCCTGAGGACTGCCCTATCCTTATCCACCCTCCTGAGGACTGCCCTATCCTTATCCACCATCCTGGGGACTGCCCTATCCTGATCCACCATCCTGAGGACTGCCCTATCCTTATCCACCATCCTGAGGACTGCCCTATCCTTATCCACCCTCCTGAGGACTGCCCTATCCTTATCCACCATCCTGAGGACTGCCCTATCCTGATCCACCATCCTGAGGACTGCCCTATCCTGATCCACCATCCTGAGGACTGCCCTATCCTGATCCACCATCCTGAGGACTGCCCTATCCTTATCCACCATCCTGAGGACTGCCCTATCCTGATCCACCATCCTGAGGACTGCCCTATCCTGATCCACCATCCTGAGGACTGCCCTATCCTTATCCACCATCCTGAGGACTGCCCTATCCTGATCCACCATCCTGAGGACTGCCCTATCCTGATCCACCATCCTGAGGACTGCCCTCTCAATAATTTTTACTGTAGAGTAACAGAATGTAAGCTCACGCGATCAGGTTGCTTGAACGAAGGTAGGACTGCCCCACTCCTTAAAAATAACAACTTACAATGTCTGATCTGTTTTCAGGTTGCTTGGCAACGACGCACTCCAAAGCCATCCACAAGCTGGATGTGCCGTCATTTGATTGGCCGATCGCTCCCTTCCCTAAACTGAAGTACCCTCTGGAGGAGTTCACACGGGAGAACGCACAGGAGGAGGCCCGCTGCCTGGAGGAGGTGTGTGTGTGTGTGTGTGTGTGTGTGTGTGTGTGTGTGTGTGTGTGTGTGTGTGTGTGTGTGTGTGTGTGTGTGTGTGTGAGGATTTAATATTTTCCTGAGAATCTACCCATTTCCCAGCATATAATACCAGCAAAACAAATTAGACATGATTATGACACTGCAAATGGAGACATAGACAGATGGAATGTAATGGTTTCTTGTTGTATTTGTTGCAATTTAATCAATCTCAAAGTTCTAAGTCACCACACTATTTCGCCTAGTTTTAATGTAGGCCTATGAAGCACTGTTGGCCGTCTGGTAAAATATGATGAGGTTATTACAGTCTAGTGAAAGTTACATTAGTTTTAGCCTACCTTTGACTGCAAGATGCAGATGGGTACTTTAACTGAAAGATGCAGCTGAGTTTTTTTGACTGAAAGATGCAGCTGGGTCCTTGAACTGAAAGATGCAGCTGGGTCCTTTGACTGAAAGATGCAGCTGGGTCCTTTAACTGAAAGATGCAGCTGGATTTTTTTGACTGAAAGATGCAGCTGGGTCCTTGAACTGAAAGATGCAGGTGGATTTTTTTGACTGAAAGATGCAGCTGGGTCCTTGAACTGAAAGATGCAGCTGGGTCCTTGGACTGAAAGATATAGCTGGATCCTTTGACTGAAATATGCAGCTGGGTCCTTTGACTGAAAGATGCAGCTGGGTCCTTTAACTGAAAGATGCAGCTGGGTCCTTTGACTGAAAGATGCAGCTGGGTCCTTTGACTGAAAGATGCAGCTGGGTCCTTTGACTGAAAGATGCAGCTGGGTCCTTTGACTGAAAGATGCAGCTGGGTACTTTTCTCTCCCCTTGAACCTGTCTATCAGGGGAATCTGGGAAGGTTGTGGCTGTTTTTACTTCGCTTATTGTGGTGATTTTGTCAGAGGGAACATATCTGATTCTCCGCTAATCAAACAGATGAGCTGTAGCGAAGATTCAGTCCCATGGATAGCACTGTGGTTCATCAATTGCCCGCGTAGCTAAACCCACTGTGAATCATGCGCCATTCTAAGGTTGGCTATATTTTACATTTACATTTTAGTCATTTAGCAGACGCTCTTATCCAGAGCGACTTACAATTAGTGAGTGCATACATTTTTCATACTGCATAAAAGCAAACGTTTACTTATTGCATTCGTTATCAGTTGTTGGCATTCGTTAGCCTAGAAATCAATGGTAGGCCTATTTCTAGCAATAAAGTCAATGATAATCTCTCAAGGTTTTTGTTTTAAAATATGTATTTAGTCATTTAGCATACAATAATGAAATGTGAGCCTTCTGGTTACACAAACAAACATTTTCATTAAACTTTCTTGTTCAGATTTGAGTTCATTAAAAGACACCCTGTTCTCGCATTATTTTTCAACATGAAAAACAGACTCGGTCAGAAACAGAGTAACTGTAATTCTAGCTGACTGATTCTCAAGACCCAGCCAAACAAATGTAGAAAAGCATTCTACACAAACTTAGGCTATAGGCTACGTAAAACGACCTGGTGGGCCTACCCTGTAGCAAACAAATGAACAAAGTAAATAATTTGCATATAGGCTGTACCTGTGGCCTCTCAAAAAGCACAGTGCGTCAACGCTTCCTGGTTTCTGATCTTGGTCACAAATTGGCCACAGACTGACAAGGCTCTCTCGGCCTCCACGGAGGTGGCCTGGATCGTGGCAAGTGCCTCAAACCAGTAACAGCTAATGGGGATCCTAATCAAATAAAAATATAAAATACCAAAATGACCTGCCTCAAACCGGTGCTGCAGGCATTTGGACTTGTTTGTTGCTTCAAACAGGCTGAATTCCTCAGACGGGATTTTCAGCAGGTCAGTTTTGTATTTGGCCTCGTTTTGGTATTTATTTTGTATTTTATTAGGATCCCCATTAGCTGTTGCAAAAGCAGCAGCTACTCTTCCTGGGGTCCACACAAAACACGAAACATGACATAATACAGAACATTAATAGATAAGGACAGCTCAAGGACAGAACTACATCAATTTAAAAATGGCACACGTAGCCTAGATATCAATACATACACACAAACTATCTAGGTCAAATAGGGGAGAGGCGTTGTGCCATTGCTTTATCTGTTTTTTGAAACCAGGTTTGCTGTTAATTTGAGCAATAGGTGATGGAACGGAGTTCCATGCAATAATGGCTCTGTATAATACTGTACGCTAGCTTGAATTTGTTCTGGATTTGGGGACTGTGAAAAGACCCCTGGTGGCATGTCTGGTGGGGTAAGTGTCAGAGCTGTGTGTAAGTTGACTATGCAAACAATTTGGGATTTTCAACACATTGTTTCTTATAAAAAGAAGAAGTGATGCAGTCAGTCTCTCCTCAAGTCTTAGCCAAGAGATACTGGCATGCATAGTATTAATATCAGCCCTCTGATTACAATGAAGAGCAAGACGTGCCGCTCTGTTCTGGGCCAGCTGCAGCTTAACTAGGTCTTTCTTTGCAGCACTTGACCACATGACTGGACAATAATCAAGACAAAACTAGAGCCTGCAGGACTTGCTTTGTGGAGTGTGGAGTCAAAAAAGCAGAGCATCTCTTTATAATGGACAGTCCTCTCCCCATCTTTACAACCACTGAATCTATACGTTTTGACCATGACAGTTTACAATCTAAGGTAACACCAAGTAATTTAGTCTCCTCAACTTGTTCAACAGCCACACCATTCATTACCAGATTCAGCTGAGGTCTAGAACTTAAGGAATGATTTGTACCAAATACAACGCTCTTAGTTTTAGAGATGTTCAGGACCAGTTTATTACTGGCCACCGATTCCAAAACAGACTAACTCTTTGTTGAGGGTTTCAGTGACTTCATTAGCTGTGGTTGCTGATGCATATATGGTTGACACACACACACACCCTGAGCGTTGATTATTGACCATGCAGATAGCAGAGCAGAGAGAACCATATCGAAGAAACATTTAGACATTGCATATAATTTAACAGTTCCATTTCACGTCACGCTGTTCATATAAATAATTTATTATAATTGACCGGTTTCTTGGAATTATTCATCCCAGGAAAAGGGACTGGGTTTGGGCGGTAAATCTCGGTAACCTGTTTCCCGCCATTAAACCATAGTGTGTGTGTATGTTAACCCTGTTTGTGTGTGTGTTAACCCTGTATCTGTGTGTTAACCCTGTATCTGTGTGTTAACCCTGTATCTGTGTGTTAACCCTGTATCTGTGTGTTAACCCCGTATCTGTGTGTTAACCCTGTATATGTGTGTTAACCCTGTATCTGTGTGTTAACCCTGTATATGTGTGTTAACCCTGTATATGTGTGTTAACCCTGTATCTGTGTGTTAACCCTGTATATGTGTGTTAACCCTGTATATGTGTGTTAACCCTGTATCTGTGTGTTAACCCTGTATCTGTGTGTTAACCCTGTATATGTGTGTTAACCCTGTATATGTGTGTTAACCCTGTATCTGTGTGTTAACCCTGTATATGTGTGTTAACCCTGTATATGTGTGTTAACCCTGTATCTGTGTGTTAACCCTGTATCTGTGTGTTAACCCTGTATCTGTGTGTTAACCCCGTATCTGTGTGTTAACCCTGTATCTGTGTATGTCCCAGGTAGAGGACCTGATAGTCCAGTGGCGTCAGAAGGGCCGGCCGGTGGCTGGGATAGTGATTGAACCCATCCAGGCTGAAGGAGGAGACAACCACGCAACACCTGACTTCTTCAAGAAGCTACGGAACATCGCACGCAAGGTAGGCTGGAGAGGGAGGGAGGGGGGAGGGTCATACACAAGGTAGGCTGGAGAGAGAGGGAGGCAGGGAGGGAGGAGAGTCATACACAAGGTAGGCTGGAGAGGGAGGGAGGGAGGGAGGGTTATACACAAGGTAGGCTGGAGAGGGAGGGAGGGAGGGAGGGAGGGAGGGAGGGAGGGAGGGGGGCAGAGTCATACACAAGGTAGGCTGGAGAGGGAGGGAGGGGGGAGGGTCATACACAAGGTAGGCTGGAGAGAGAGGGAGGCAGGGAGGGAGGAGAGTCATACACAGGTAGGCTGGAGAGGGAGGGAGGGAGGGTTATACACAAGGTAGGCTGGAGAGAGAGGGAGGCAGGGAGGGAGGAGAGTCATACACAAGGTAGGCTGGAGAGGGAGGGAGGGAGGGTTATAACCAAGGTAGCTGGAGAGGGAGGGAGGGGGGAGAGTCATACACAAGGTAGGCTGGAGAGGGAGGGAGGGGGGTTATACACAAGGTAGGCTGGAGAGGGAGGGAGGGGGGAGAGTCATACACAAGGTAGGCTGGAGAGGGAGGGAGGCAGGGAGGGAGGAGAGTCATACACAAGGTAGACTGGAGAAGGAGGGAGGGGGGAGAGTCATACACAAGGTAGGCTGGAGAGGGAGGGAGGGAGGAGAGTCATACACAAGGTAGGCTGGAGAGGGAGGGAGGGGGGAGAGTCATTAACACAAGGTAGGCTGGAGAGGGAGGGAGGGGGGAGAGTCATACACAAGGTAGGCTGGAGAGGGAGGGAGGGAGGGTTATACACAAGGTAGACGGAGTGAGGGAGGGGGAAGTCAACCGTAGGCTGGAGAGGTATAACAAACGAAGGTAGGACGGAGAGGTGAGGGAGGGGAGGGTTATACACAAGGTAGACTGGAGAGGGAGGGAGGGAGGGAGGGGGCAGAGTCATACACAAGGTGACACTGAAATAAAATCAGTCAATCAATCCATCCATCAATCATAGAAGGATTAAAACAGATCAAATAATTATACTGAACTCTCCCTCCCTCCTCCCCCCTCCCCTCCCCCTCCCCTCCCTCCTCCCCTCCATCCTCCCCTCCCCCCTCTTCCTCCCTCTCTCAGCATGGCAGTGCGTTCCATGTGGATGAGGTGCAGACAGGTGGCGGTGCTACAGGGAAGTTCTGGGCTCATGAACACTGGGGGATGGACGACCCTGCTGACATCGTCTCCTTCAGCAAGAAGATGCTCACTGGAGGTTTTTACCATAAAGACGAGCTGCAGGCAGACAAGGTAACACACACACACAGGACACACACAGGACACACACACACAGGACACACACACACAGGACACACACACAGGACACACAGGACACACACAGGACACACAGACACACACAGGACACCCACACAGGACACACACAGGACACACACAGGACACACGCAGGACACACACACACAGGACACACACAGGACACACACACACACAGGACACACACAGGACACACACAGGACACACACACACAGGACACACACACACAGGACACACACACACAGGACACACACAGGACACACACACACACAGGACACACACAGGACACACACACACACAGGACACACACACACACAGGACACACACAGGACACACACAGGACACACACACACACAGGACACACACACACAGGACACACACACGCAGGACACACACACACACAGGACACACACAGGACACACACACACAGGACACACACACACAGGACACACGCAGGACACACACACACGCAGGACACACACACACACGCAGGACACACACAGGACACACACAGGACACACACAGGACACACGCAGGACACACACACACAGGACACACACACACAGGACACACACAGGACACACACACACAGGACACACACACACACAGGACACACACACACAGGACACACACACACAGGACACACGCAGGACACACACACACGCAGGACACACGCAGGACACACACACACGCAGGACACACACACACACGCAGGACACACACAGGACACACATACGCAGGACATACACACACAGGACACACACACACAGGACACACACACACGCAGGACACACACAGGACACACACACACGCAGGACACACACACACACACACACACAGGACACACACAGGACACACACACACAGACAGGACACACGCACACAGGACACACAGGCATATAATACGCAAATACACACAAGATGCCCTGTACACATGCAGGCACACACACACACAGGCGTATAAGGTACACACAGGACACACACATGCAGACATACACACACACACAGGACACACACATGCAGACATACACACACACACAGGACACACACATGCAGACATACACACACACACAGGACACACACATGCAGACATACACACACACACAGGACACACACATGCAGACATACACACACACACAGGACACACACACATACACAGGACACACACACACACACAGGACACACACATGCAGACATACACACACACATGCAGACATACACACACAGGACACACACATGCAGACATACACACATACAATGTACAGTGAGGGAAAAAAGTATTTGATCCCCTGCTGATTTTGTACGTTTGCCCACTGACAAAGACATGATCAGTCTATAATTTTAATGGTAGGTTTATTTGAACAGTGAGAGACAGAATAACAACAAAAAAATCCAGAAAAACGCATGTCAAAAATGTTATAAATTGATTTGCATTTTAATGAGGGAAATAAGTATTTGACCCCTCTGCAAAACATGACTTAGTACTTGGTGGCAAAACCCTTGTTGGCAATCACAGATGTCAGACATTTCTTGTAGTTGGCCACCAGGTTTGCACACATCTCAGGAGGGATTTTGTCCCACTCCTCTTTGCAGATCTTTTCCAAGTCATTAGGGTTTCGAGGCTGACATTTGGCAACATAAACATTCAGCTCCCTGCACAGATTTTCTATGTGTGGCTAGGCCACTCCAGGACCTTAATGTGCTTCTTCTTGAGCCACTCCTTTGTTGCCTTGGCCGTGTGTTTTGGGTCATTGTCAAACTGGAATACCCATCCACGACCCATTTTCAATGCCCTGGCTGAGGGAAGGAGGTTCTCACCCAAGATTTGACGGTACATGGCCCCGTCCATCGTCCATTTGATGCGGTGAAGTTGTCCTGTCCCCTTAGCAGAAAACCCCCCAAAGCATAATGTTTACACCTCCATGTTTGACGGTGGGGATGGTGTTCTTGGGGTCATAGGCAGCATTCCTCCTCCTCCAAACACGGCGAGTTGAGTTGATGCCAAAGAGCTCGATTTTGGTCTCATCTGACCACAACACTTTCACCCAGTTCTCCTCTGAATCATTCAGATGTTCATTGGCAAACTTCAAACGGGCCTGTATATGTGCTTTCTTGAGCAGGGGGACCTTGCGGGTGCTGCAGGATTTCAGTCCTTCACGGCGTAGTGTGTTACCAATTGTTTTCTTGGTGACTATGGTCCCAGCTGCCTTGAGATCATTGACAAGATCCTCCCGTGTAGTTCTGGGCTGATTCCTCACCGTTCTCATGATCATTGCAACTCCGCGAGGTGAGATCTTGCATGGAGCCCCAGGCCGAGGGACATTGACAGTTATTTTGTTTCTTCCATTTGCGAAAAATTGCACAAACTGTTTTCACCTTCTCACCAAACTGCTTGGCGATGGTCTTGTAGCCCATTCCAGCCTTGTGTAGGTCTACAATCTTGTCCCTGACATCCTTGGAGAGCTCTTTGATCTTGGCCATGGTGGAGAGTTTGGAATCTGATTGATTGATTGCTTCTGTGGACAGGTGTCTTTTATACAGGTAACAAACTGAGATTAGGAGCACTCCCTTTAAGAGTGTGCTCCTAATCTCAGCTCGTTACCTGTATAAAAGACACCTGGGAGCCAGAAATCTTTCTGATTGAGAGGGGGTCAAATACTTATTTCCCTCATTAAAATGCAAATCAATTTATAACATTATTGACATGTGTTTTTCTGGATTATTTTATTGTTATTTTGTCTCTCACTGTTCAAATAAACCTACCATTAAAGTTATAGACTGATCATGTCTTTGTCAGTGGGCAAACGTACAAAATCAGCAGGGGATCAAATACTTTTTTCCCTCACTGTATAACCTTATTTTGGCTGTGTGTGTGTGTGTGTGTGTGTTTCTTTCCCAGGCCTACCGTATCTTTAACACGTGGATGGGCGACCCGTCTAAGAACCTGTTCCTGGCTGAGGTTCTGAACGTGATCCGCAGAGAGAACCTTCTGGATGAGGTGACCCGCTCTGGGAAAACTCTCCTACAGGGACTCTACCAACTACAGGTACTAGATACAGTGACTCTACCAACTAAGGATATCCCTAAACAACTACAGGTAGCTAGATACAGAGACTCTAACCAACCTACAGGTACTACCAGATATCAAGAGACCAACCAACTACAGTACCAGAGATACAGGACTCCTACCAACCTACAGGTACCATAGAGACTCTACCAACTACGAGTACCAGAGACTCTACCAACTACATACAGTACCAAGACTCACCCACACATTTACTCTATAGACTCTAACCAACTACATTAACATATACTCTACCGCAACTACAGTAGCCCATAGACTCTACCAACTACAGGTACCAGAGACGCTACCAACACATGTCCTAGACTTAATCTATCCTAACCAACTCCAGTTACTAGCTACAGAGACTCTACCAACTCCAGGCCTGGGATGTGAGATGGGGTCGTGGAAGTGTGGAGGGGCTCATCCTCTACCCTCTCTCCTCCCATACGTAGACTCTACCAGCTACAGTACTATATACAGAGACTTCTACCAACTACAGGTACCAAGACTCTACCACTACACGACAGTAGCCAGAGACTCCTACCAACTACAGGTACTAGATCAGAGACTCTACAACTAACATGTACCATAGACAGAGACTCTACCAACTACAGTACCAGAGACGTAGACTCTACCAACTACAGGTACTAGATACATGACAGAGACTCTACCACCTACAGGTCCGCAGTACTCTACCCCTCTACCAACTACAGGTACTAGATACATAGACTCTACCAACTACAGGTACCGAGATACTCGACCAGCTACAGGTACTAGATACAGAGACCCTACCAACTCCGGTACCAGAGAGCCAGAAGACTCTACCAACCTACAGGACTAGATACAGAGACTCTAACCAACTACAGGTACCAGAGACAAGCAGACTCTAACCACTACAGGTACTAGATACCGAGCTCTAAGCTACCACTACAAAGTTACCCCAGAGACTCTACCAGCTAACGGTACTAGATACAAGAACTCTACCAACTCAGGGTACCAGAGACTCTACCAACTCAGGTACCAGAGACTCTACCACTACAGTACTAGATACGAGACTCTATAACCCACACAGTACCAGATCTCTACCAACTACAAGTACCAGAGACTCTACTCACTACAGGTACTAGATACAGAGACTCTACCACTACAGGTACCAGAACTCTACCACTAAAGGTACTCAGGACTCTAACCCAACTACAGTACTAGATAGCAGAGACGAGACTCTACTACCAACTACAGGTAAACCCAGATACTCTACCACTACAGGTCCAGAGACCTCTATCTACCAACTACATGTACCAGAGACTCTACTCACTACAGGTAACGCGAGAGACTCTACCAACTACAGGGATTAGATACCGAGACTCTAACCAACTACAGGTACCCAAGAGACAAGACTCTACCAACTACAGGTACCAGAGACTCTATACCAACTACAGTACTAGATACAGATACTCTACCACCTACAGGTACCAGAGACTCTACGCAACTCCAGGTCCAGAGACTCTCCAACTACTACAGTTCCAGAGACTCTAACCAACTACAGGTACAGAGACTCTACCAACTAAGTGACTAGATACAGAGACGCTACCCCACTACAAAAAAAAAAGGTACCTAGAGACAGAGACTCACCAACTAAACAGGTACCAGAGACTCTACGCCACTACAGGTCTAGATACAAGATCTCTCACTCCAGGTCCCACGAGACAGAGACTCTACCAACTACAGTACCAAGAGACTCTACCAACTACAGGTACTAGATACAGAGACTCTACCGAACTACAGGTACCCAGATACATAGACCTCTACCAACTACAGGTACCATAGACATAGACTCTACCACTACAGGTACCAGAGACAGAGACTCTACCAACTACATGTACCAGAGACTACCAACTACGGTACCATAGATCTCCACTACAGGTACCATAGACTACCAACTACAGGTTCCAGAGACTCTAACCAACTACAGTTACTAGAAACAGAGACTTCACCAACTACAGGTACCAGATACTCTAACCAACTAACAGTTACTAGAACGAGACTGGCTACCAACTACCGATGTACCTAGAGACTCTACCAACTCCAGTACCAGCGACATAGACTCTACCAACTACAGTCCCAGAGACCGAGACTCTCCGAACTACAGGTACTTATACAGAGACGCTACCAACTACAGGTAACCGATAGACTCTACCACTACAGGTACCAATACTCTAACTACAACTACAGGTACTAGATCGAGACTCTACGGCATCTACAGGTACCAGAGACGCTACCTAACTACAGGTCCCAGAGACTCTACCTAACTCCAGGTAACAGATACAGAGACTCTACCCTACAGGTACCATAGACAGAGACTCTACAACTACAGGTACCAGAGACAGAGAGCTCTAACCAACTACAGGTACCAGCGCACTCTACAACATACAGGTACTAGAAACGAGACTTACCAACTACAGTACCCGAGACTCTAGCCAACTACCGGTCCCAGAGACTCTAGACCAACTACAGGTACCATAGACTCTAAAACCACTAATAAGGTACTAGATACAGAGACTCTAAGCACTACAGGTACCAGATACGCACCAACTACATGTACCCAGATACTCTAACTCTACCACTACAGGTACCAGAGACTCTACCAACTACAGGTACCAGAGACTCTACCAACTACAGGTCCCAGGACTCTTACCAACTACAGGTACCAGGACTCTACCAACTACAGTACCAGAGACTCTACCACCTACAGTACCCAGAGACTCTACCAACTACAGGGACAGAGACTCTACCAACTACAGGTACCAGAGACAGATACTCTACCCCTACAGGTACCATAGACAGAGACGCTCAAACCACTACAGGTACCAGATACTCTACCAACTACAGGGACTAGCTACAGAGACTCTAAGCTACCAACTACAGTACCATAGACCTACAACTACAGGTACTAGATATAACAACAGAGACTCTACCAACTACAGGTACCCTAGAGACAGAGACTCTACCACTACATTGTTATATCTAGATACAGAGACTCTTCTAACCAACTACAGGTACGCAGGCACTCTACAACTACAGTACCAAGACTCTAACCACCTACAGGTACTAGATACAGAGACTCTACCAGCTACAGGTACCAGAGACAGAGACTCTACCACTACGGTACCAGAGACAGAGACTCTCCACTACAGGTTACCAGATACTCTAACCAACTACAGGTACAGATACAGAGACTCTAACCAACACAGGTACCTCGAGACTCTACAACTACAGGACCAAGACGCTACCAACTAGCAGGTACCAGAGACTCTACCACTACAGGTACTAGAATCAGAGACTCTACCACTACCGTCCCAGAGACCTTCCTACCAACTACCTGTACCAGCGACTCTAAAAACCAACTACAGGTACCAGAGACTCTAACCAACTACAGGTACCGATAAGACTCTAACCACTACCACTACATGTATCTAGATACAGAGACTCTAACCAACTACAGGTACAGAGAACTCTACCAACTACGGTACTAGATACAGAGACTCTACTACAACTACAGGTACCCAGAGACTCTACCAACTACAGGTACCCACAGAGACTCTACCAACTACAGGTACTAGATATCAGAGAACTCTACGCACTACAGGTACCAGAACTCCTAACAACTACATGTACTAGATACAGAGACCTACAACTACAGTACAGAGACTCTAACACTCCGGTACCCCAGAGACTCTACCCACTACAGGTACTAGATACAGAGACTCTACCAACGACAGGTTACGCAGAGACTCTACCAACTACAGGGACCTAGGAGACGCTACCACTACAGGTACTAGATTAAAGAGACTCTACACGACAGGGTACCAAGACTCTACACTCCAGGTCCAGAACTCTAACCAACTACAGGTACCAGATACGAGACCTAGCACTACATGTACTAGAGACAGAGACTCTACCAACTACAGGTATCTAGATACAGAGACCTCCGAACCTACAGTTCATAGACTCTAACCAACTACAGTTACCTCAGGACTCAAATACCAACTATCAGGACTAGATCCAGAGACTCTACCAACTAAAGGGACTAGATACGAGACCGACCACTACGGTACCAGAGACTCTACCAACTACAGGTACCATAGACTCTCATCCAACTACACAGTACCAGAGACTCTTCTACCAACTACAGGTACCAGAGACTCTACCACTACAGGTACAGAGACTCTCCACACAGTACCAGAGAACTCTAACAACTCCGGTACTAGAAACCGGACTCTACAAACTACAGGTACCAGAGACTCTACCAACTACATACCAAGACTCTACCCAACTAGCAGGTACCAGAGACTCTACCAACTACAGTACCCCAGAGACTCTACCAACTACAGGTACCGAGAGACTCTACCAACTAAAGGTACCGAGACTCTACAACTACGGTACTAGATACAGAGCTCTACCAACTACAGTTACCAGATACTCTACCAACTACAGTACCAGATTACCTATACCAACTACGGTACCAGATACTCTACCAACTACGGTACTCAGAGACTCTACCAACTACAGGTACTCCCGAGAGACTCTATCACAACTACAGGTACCAGAGACGCTCCCAACTACAGGTACCAGAGTACTCTAGCCAACTACAGGTACCAGAGACTCTACCACTACAGTACCAGAGACTCTACCAACTACAGGGTACCAGGAGACAGAGACTCTACCAACTACAGGTACCAGAGACGAGACTCTACCAACTACAGGTACAGAGACCGAGACTCTACCACTACAGGTACCAGAGACTCTACCAACACAGTACAGAGACTTACAACTACAGGATAGATACGAGACTAACCAACCTACAGGTACCAGAGACAGAGACTCTACCAACTACAGGTACCAGAGACAGAGACTCTACCAACTACAGGTACCAGAGACTACCAACTACAGGTACTAGATACAGAGACTCTACCAACTACAGGTACCAGAGACTCTACCAACTACAGGTACTAGATACAGAGACTCTACCAACTACAGGTACCAGAGACTCTACCAACTACAGGGACTAGATACAGAGACTCTACCAGCTACAGGTACCAGAGACTCTACCAACTACAGGTACCAGAGACTCTACCAGCTACAGGTACCAGAGACTGTGTGTGTGTGTGCTAACATCTGTACCTCTCCCCCAGGACCAGTACCCTAACCTGTTGAGCAGTGCTCGGGGACAGGGGACATTCTGTGCCATCGACATCCGTGATGACGCCACACGCAACAGCATCATCCTCAAAGCCCGGGACAAGGGTAAGACACACTACACACACACACACACACACACACACACACACACACACACACACACACACTCCACGCTGGTGATCTTCTGTGTAACCTCTATCGTCTCTGTCTGTCTGTCTCAGGTGTCCTGCTGGGTGGCTGTGGAGATCGGTCGATCCGGTTCCGTCCTGCTCTGGTGTTTAAGGAGTACCATGTTCACATGTTCCTGAACGTGTTCAACGACGTCCTGGCAGAACACACCTAGAACCGTCCACACCAACACGGGCCAGACCAACTGGGGATGGGGTGGAGGGGAGGGGGAAGCACAACAGTCTTAACCTATAACAAGGGGTTCACACACTAATGCATACACTTAAAGGGATACTACAGGATTCTGGCAGCGAAGCCCTTTATCTCCTTCCCCAAAGTCAGATGAAACAGTTTGAAGGAAGTTGCTAACCAGCGCTAGCGCAATTGCTAACTAGCGTTAGCGCAATGACTGGAAGCATTGGCTCGTGAAACTACCTCTGACTTTCTTCATACTGGACACAGAGACATAAAAACGGTATCCGCGAGTCTATCTGACTCTGGGGAAGTTGATAAAGGGCCTCATTGCCAACATCCCAAAGTATCCCTTTAACACTCACACACCACACTTGAATTTGTCCCATTGCTCATGTGGCAGTCCTAGCATTCCCCATATCACAGTGATGTCTTATTGATAGCCCTGCAAAAGGCACAAGCACAAAACATCTTACTTTGGTAATATCACACAAACCCTCCAACTCCCCAACAGATAAAGGCACAACAATATGTTTTTAGAGCAAACCCACCTGACAGGAGCGGATAGCAGCAAGCTAACCTAAACAAGGTTCTACTGCCGCATGACGACCTTTAACCCCTGACCTTTAAATATGTCCTAGTTTGGGTTCTGTGGGTTCTCTGGGTGTTCTAGGTGTTTTAACAGAACAATAATGTTTCAGCTTGACTTGGATTATCTCAACCCCGAACATTGGCAATTTGTGAAGGAGAATATTATAGAAGATTATGTAGTGTGTGTCTGCATGTTGTTGTACCTAAACTTCCTTTGGATTCAAGGAATTGAGACCTGGGTTCCAGACTCACTATACATTAGGGCTAACAATCTATTTTAAACCCATACTTATTAACACATAACCATACTTATCTACAAATATAAATATGTAAACATTGACATGTCTACATTAAAGGCAGTTTTTTTGCAGTCAGGACTCCTAATAAAAAGATGTATTATATTTGTTGACTTGTTTGGCCTTGAACCCACAGTCGTATTAGAGTTCTGCATCTTGCCATATTCCTCCGGTTTCCTCATGAAACGACTGAACTCATTATTGATGTACAGCACAAGGTATCTACGTTGTTCTGAATGCCTGTTTTTTTTTTTTTTTTTATAGCAGCAGTAACAGGAAGGAGTAGCTTAGGCTCCACCATTAGCACTGTAGAGGCTCTATAATATGGCCATGATGAAGGGGATGAGGATTACAGTGAGGATGATACCTGTCTTGTTAACCAGCCCAGTCAGTATTGTATAGAGAACTGTGTATCGTTGATTTCCTGTTAACCATTAACAATAGTAGAAGCATTGCTATGTTGGTTTACATTGTTCTGTGAGGTTAAAGGTTTATTGCAGATGATCTCTAATTATTGTTGTCTATGAAGCATCCTCTTTATGTATCCTAAAATAAACCAGGATCACATTTTAATTAATTCCTCTGGAGTTTTTGGTGTTCCTTATCACATGGTCCTGTTTGCCCTGTCTACAACAATGGAGAGGGCTGTGTAGGTTTCTGACAGAGAGGTTTTCCACCAAAACACTACATTTAATTAACAGCCCATTCTTCTTTCATAGGATAAAAAAAGCAAACATCTTTAATGTGTTTTAAAACAACAGCTTTATTTGTCTTTATGTGACTCAATCTGAACCAGGAACGTCCCATTCAGTGGAACCGAATTCAAACAGAAGCTGGGTTGTCACATCAACAATTTGACAAAATAAACATTCTACAAAACATCATTATTTACAAACATCAGTCAATAACAACAAGATCCCAGCTTTCCTAATGAAAAGGTTTTACCTGACACAGGGACACTGAGGAGTCTGTCCAAACCCAAAACCCTGGGTAGAGGGGCTCAGTGAATGTGGTGTGGAATGTGTACAGGTGGGTCAGTGTGTCAGAGGAGACTCTGTAGAAGGACAGAGTGCCGGCTGGCCAGTCCAGATACACTCCTACTCTGTTGGAGTGGGGGGATGGAACAGGTATGTTAGTTTCCTTGTTATTGTGCCAGGCAGAGTAACTGTTATTAGAGGTCCATAGAGTCCAAGACATGTTATTGGCTCCCAGCACACAGTCATTACTGTATCCTCTCCTGCTGATTCCTTTATATGCCACTCCTATACGACCCCTCCCACTCCACTCTACCTCCCAGTAACAGCGCCCAGTCAGACCCTCTCTACACAGAATCTGGTCCCAGTAGTTAAATCTCTCTGGGTGATCAGGATACATCTGATCCTCTTTCCCCCCAGTCACCTTCCTGTTCTCCTCAGACAGAGAGAGGTATCTGTATGCTGTGTTTGGGTCCAGTGTGACATCACAGGCATCTGATAGGGAAGACCAATATTAGAAATCATCATCATTCACATCAGAATGTTAATCATCAAGGCCTTTTATGAAGACCGAATGATGTAATGTAATTATTACAATCTTACAGACAAACTGCTTTTTCTAGTCTCTTGTATTTTTGGGATTATAATTTATGTACATTTTACATTTACATTTAGTCATTTACAGTTAGTGAATACATATATATATTTATAAATAAAAAATATATATTTTTGACTTTTTTATATATTTATTTTTCATTATTATTTATTTATTTATTATTTATATATATATTTTAATACATTTTATTTATTTATTTTTAACAAAAAATATATATATTTTTTTTTTTTTTTCATACTGGCCCCCCGTGGGAAACGAACCCACAACCCTGGCGTTGCAAACACCATGCTCTATCAACTGAGCTACATCCCTGCCGGCCATTCCCTCCCCTACCCTGGACGACGCTGGGCCAATTGTGCGCCGCCCATGAGTCTCCCGGTCGCGGCCGGCTGCGACAGAGCCTGGATTCGAACCAGGATCTCTAGTACCGATGCCACATAGGCCGTTGTCAACCAGAAAAGTAGGTTTTTGGCGATAGTTCCTCTTTAATACAGTTATCAGACTGCCATCAATATGTTCTGTTATTGTCTTTTAATCTCAAGTCTGATGATTTTGTGACCAGGGGAGGCTGCTGAGGGGAGGACGGCTCATAATAATGGCTGGAACGGAGCGAATGGAATGGCATCAAACACATGGAAACCATGGAAACCATGTGTTGTGTTTGATGTCTTTGATACCATACCACTTTTCCCGCTCCAGCCGTCCTCCCCAATTTAGGTGTCACCAACCTCCTGTGGTATGACTGGGGAGATGGAGATGGTATTGATCACAATTCACATCCCGGATGATTATCCAGACCTTTTATAAACTGGATTGATACATTGGCTGTGTTTACACAGACACCCTAAGAACCCAAATCTGATTCTCTTTTTTTTACGACTGTCCACACACAGTTTTACATGTGACCCATATCAGATTTGCGCATCCCATAACTGATTTAACTTGCCAATGAACACAATATATAATATCTATGGAATTTTAACAGTAATATGGCTAACCAGAATAAAAAAACCTGGTATGGTTCTTCTTCTTTGAGATTGATCAAGGTTCTAAAAAGAACCATAAAAAGGGTTCTATATAGCACCAAAAAGGGTCATTACATTTAAGTCATTTAGCAGACGCTCTTATCCAGAGCGACTTACAAATTAACCATAGTGGTAGCCTTTTTTTTATATAACCTTTTTTGAATGGTTCTTTATAGAACCTTATGAAAGGGTTCTTTATAGCACCATACAGGTTCATAGCCGCGGGAAGATGTTTTGAGTTGAGGGTGCTGAACGGTGGGGGGAGGGGGGAGGGGGAGGGGGGGGGTATATTTAGCAGAATATGTTTTAATACCACACAAATGGCCAAATGCAAGCGACTGTGCAACTCGCTATTCAGGTAGGATGCAATTTTGGAACTTAATGTATTAACAAAAATCGTATTTATAATCGTTTGTTTTATCATTATTATAATAATGATATATCATTGTTATTATTATAGTCCTATTTTATGAGTTCCTGATCGTATTTTCCCTGTAAACAATGGCTTGATTTCTTTTGATATTACGTTAATAAAGTTTAGAAACTTTTGTGAAGTTGTGGTGTGGCTATTGGTCTATTATACTGCAGGACTATGATATGAAGGCAGTGGGCACCGGCGCTCCAACTGACTCTGACTGTTCAACAGGACTATGATATGAAGGCAGTGGGCACCGGCGCTCCAACTGACTCTGACTGTTCAACAGGACTATGATATGAAGGCAGTGGGCACCGGCGCTCCAACTGACTCTGACAGTTCAACAGGACTATGATATGAAGGCAGTGGGCCCCGGCGCTCCAACTGACTCTGACAGTTCAACAGGACTATGATATGAAGGCAGTGGGCCCCGGCGCTCCAACTGACTCTGACAGTTCAACAGGACTATGATATGAAGGCAGTGGGCACCGGCGCTCCAACTGACTCTGACTGTTCAACAGGACTATGATATGAAGGCAGTGGGCACCGGCGCTCCAACTGACTCTGACTGTTCAACAGGACTATGATATGAAGGCAGTGGGCCCCGGCGCTCCAACTGACTCTGACAGTTCAACAGGACTATGATATGAAGGCAGTGGGCCCCGGCGCTCCAACTGACTCTGACTGTTCAACAGGACTATGATATGAAGGCAGTGGGCACCGGCGCTCCAACTGACTCTGACTGTTCAACAGGACTATGATATGAAGGCAGTGGGCACCGGCGCTCCAACTGACTCTGACAGTTCAACAGGACTATGATATGAAGGCAGTGGGCACCGGCGCTCCAACTGACTCTGACTGTTCAACAGGACTATGATATGAAGGCAGTGGGCACCAGCGCTCCAACTGACTCTGACAGTTCAACAGGACTATGATATGAAGGCAGTGGGCACCAGCGCTCCAAATGACTCTGACTGTTCAACAGGACTATGATATGAAGGCAGTGGGCACCGGCGCTCCAACTGACTCTGACTGTTCAACAGGACTATGATATGAAGGCAGT